ACTTTCAAAGTGATCCATCTAATACCAGGATTTTGCCTATGATGTCTCTTATCAGACTGCACTGTAATTTCTGATTTACTTACCCATTTGCCCTATCCTATATAATAAAGAGGTGATATGCAAATGGACCATCACACCCTGGCTGCCTACAACCACGCTTGGGGGGGGCAGTTTGGGGCAATTAGGCTGGCAGGGGGGCAGTGAGTGGCAATTAGGCTGGTGTGGGGGACAGTTGGGGTCAACCAGGCTGGCAGAGGGGGGCAGTTAGGGGCAACCAGGCTGGCAGGAGGGGGCAGTTGGGGGTGATCTGGCCAGTGAGAGGGCAGTTAGGGGTGATCAGGACAGCACACAGAGGCAGTGAGGGGCAACCAGGCAGACAGGCAGGTGAGCAATTAGGAGCCAGTGGTCTAGGATTGTGAGGGGTATGTCCTGATTGGAGAGTGTGCAGGCTGGGCTGAGGGGACCCCCCCCAACACATGAATTTTGTGCACTGGACCTCTAGTTATAACAGAATACACAAACCCACTTTTGTGGCAGCTATGCCTTCCCTGTGTCATCCCTGAGCAGGCACCACTGCTCAGGCTCACTGCTCAGGCCCGCTTTCTGTAGAGAAATGGGAGCAGGATGCCAGCCTGAGTTGGTATGGGTGGCATTGCTAGCTCTTATTTTAACTGGTAGTGGAAATGCACAGGCCTGCAGCAGTCCATACCTGGCCATGCTTGTGGCTGGGCACAGACTCCTCAAGGCACAGGAAGCAGTTTATGCTTTGTTCCCAAGTAATGGAGTCTGGGAGGTGTGCCATCTTCCTCCATGGACAGATGGGTAAGTCAGAGGTGTGGGCCCTGGACTGGGCCGACCTGCAAAACTCAGTTCACCTGGATGCTGACACCCCAGCTTCTTTCAAATTCCATCCTCTTCTGATCATTTTCATGTGATAACAACCACACAGGACCTCAAGATGGTGGCTCCTTAGAGAAATTCAGGAGCAGTTACCAAATTAAGATTGGACATGGATGGAAGCCCAAATCAGGACCCTTATTCAGGGAGGTACCGCCGGCAGGGTCGGCTGCTCCCAGCAGGGCAATGGCAGGAAAGGGCCTGGCCAGCTGCCACCTGCACCTGCGCCTCTGAGGTCCCCAAGCTGGGTGTGCACCTCACATTTCCTGGAAGCACTCTGTCTTAAGAAGCACATAAATGAGGAAGAGAATCCAAAGCATCCCACAGAGCTGTGGGCTGCCTGTCAGTGCCCGGCATGCTGTCAGCCCATCGTGTGCTAATGGAACTAATAGCTTCAATTATAACTGAGCCCCAGAAATCTGGCATCCCCTGATGAAGCACACTGCTCCCTTGTGTGCCACTCACAGACCTGCTGCTGCCCTTCTGGTGGATGAAGTGGATTCTATTCATCTGTTTTGTGTTTAAAATTCAGAAGTACCTGAGCTCAGCATACCTGAGTGAATAATAAAGTGTTTAATCTTTCTTGTTCCATTCCAGATGTTCTTCAGAGGGTGCCAGATTTTACAAAAACGTTATCTGAATGCATTTTATGTAATCTGATTTGTGGTAGCACTGTGTTTGTTCTGCAGAAATGCCAGAGGCCTGCTGGAAATCCAAACACAAGGCAAAGTTACCCAAATGTGACAAAGTGATTGCACAGCCCAGACCCCTAGGAGGGAGCAGGGCTGCCCAGGCTTCTTGTTTCTGCCCTTCTGCTGTTTGACCTAATCTCCTGTGAAGCACTTTTAAAGGAATTAATATTATGCTATAAATACTACTGGGTTAGCAGAGTCTTCCGACTTCAATGAAAAGGTGACAGCATTGAGCTGAGATTGCAAGAGAACAGGGTCACACATTCCTACAGCTTCTTGGGTGCTGAGTCCAAAAAAATTTCTGGAGAATTGAAACCTCAGCACTTTAGTCCTCCCTCATTGAACAACATTAGCCCCAGTTAACCATGCATCAGCCTTAGGATACTAGCCTAGGAAAGACAGCTTCTCTCCTGGAAGCCATGGGAGTGCCACCAAGGCCTGGTCTGCTCCCCATTCTGTGTCCGGACTCCTATGAGGACTTGAAGATGAGACCTGTCCCTGCTGGGGCCTCTCTTTGGTGGAGGAGCAGCTGCTCACTGGCCACTTGTCAGGTGTGGGCTGGCATCACACTCAGAACATGATGATGGCAAGACTGAGAGAGACCCTCAGGGAGAAGCTGTCACTGACAGTGACAAAAGGGCCCATGCGGGGCTCTGAGCCAGCTGAGCAGGGTCTTTCAGAGGGAAATGAGCATCATGATCAGAGGCAGCATCTTGTGCAAGCAATTAAAAAAAATGTACTGGTTGATTTTTTGAGAGAGTAACATTACTTTGATGTTCCACTTATGCATTCACTGGTTGTTTCTTGTATGTGCTCTGACTGGGGATTGAACCCACAATCTTGATGTATAGGGGCAACATTCCAACCAATTGAGCTAGCCGGCCAGGGTTTGGTCAAGTCATTTAAATGTTATTTATGCCTCGTGGCCTTGTCAAGTTCCACACTTCCGTCTCTGTGGCTCTTGCTGTTTGTTTCATTCCTTTTCTTTTCCTCAGCTCCCATGAAGCAGTCTAGCTGTCTCTCTGATACATTCGAGCTTGCATAGTTTGGATTCCCCGGGCTGTTGTCTGCCTCACAACCCAGTTATGCCTTAAAATCAGGATGTGGCCTTCTAGTTTCTGAACTCCCCATCTGTGGGAAATGTGATCTGTCAGTTTTTACAAGCCAGCTTTTGGTTTGATTGGTTATCTAGAAGTCTTAATGCTTCCAGTAAGAATATATTGAAGTTCAGTGTTTGGCATCTCACAGAATTCTTCTCATCAATTATTTGAATGCCTGATTTGCCTCTCAGTCGTACATGTTTCCAACATTTCTGTAACTGTTTTCATAGAAATATTTTGGAATGTGCTTTCATGTTTCCATCTCACATTTGTTTATCAAAAATACAGTGTGTGTGTATGTCTATGTGTTTGTATGTGTGTATTGTGTATGTGTGTGCATGTATGTATGTGTGTGTTGTGTGTGTGTGTGTGTGTGTGAAGCTCATGGAAGATCTTTGTCCTCTAACATGCCATCACAGCCCGTGAGAAGGGCGGGCTCAGTGATGAGTGGAAAATAACCCTCCTCCATCCCTGCACTTATTCACCACCTGCAGTGGGAATGGCGGGCGATGTGGTGGTACAGGAAGCATGGAGGACCCAGGTCCAAGGCCTGTGGGGCTGAAAGGAAAGAGAAGTATAAGGAGAGGAACTGGGAGCACCAATGTGCCACTCCTCTGAGGGATCAAAGGTCACAAAAGAGGTGGCCCAAAAGCAGAGAACCATTGCTTTTGATGGAAAGACCAGAGCTTGGAGCTTTTCCTCTGGCTGAGCAGTGCCGCTTTCTTTTCCAGCATAGTAAAAAGCAGCTGTGGAGTGACAACAGAGAAGTGCTCAGACCAAGACTTCCCCTTGCAGAAAGCAGTCCCAAGCTCAGTATCTCTGTGGTACCAAGCATCTGCATTGTAACCATATTGATAAGAATGGTGATGGTGTGCTCGCTTCGGCAGCACATATACTAAGAATGGTGATGGTGACAGCAAACAAATGTGGCATTTCCCAGGTGTCAGGCATAATGTACCAGTTCATTTGATCCCCACAA